CCTGTCTAGCCTTTCCGATTGGATTGCTAGGATTGCATGCACGCGATGAATGGTTAAATTATTTCTGATTGTTTGCCATGTGGACTAACGGGCTCAACCCGACTAGGCGACAACCTCCTGTATCCCCTCTCCGCCCCTTCCCGTATAACGAGGATAGGACGCGTATCTGTGAGTGGGACATACGAGAAGCCGTCGCAAAGATCGGTTGGCAGTACGATTTCCCTCCTGAAAATCGGTGTTCTGGATTCGTAGGCGCGGGGTTTGTCATTGTGGATATGCACTTTCCGCCGTACTCGCTACTACGACCCTTTAACGAGTTGATCGTCATCCCGTGGTCGGCAGTGGCACCCCATTGGCCTAACACCTTGTGCAGTGATTGCCAACATCTCGATCACTACCAGTCGAAGGGGTTCCATTACCGAACGCGGAATGGGGACGAGCACAAGGAAAGGACCACGCGATTGAGACCATCCACGTCGGATTTAGAATTGTGTAGCATGCGGCGTCGGGAGCTAGTGCGAAAACGGGATACGAAACACGTGCCCGCTCCCTTCCACTCCAAACGACGAGCCGTGGCCCGGTGGGAAGTCTGACAGTACTTTTTGGATTGAATTCAAAACTTCCCCCTGTCACGAATCCCATGCGCACCAGAACCCGCCAGATCGCTCACTTCATCAGACCAACACGGAGGATTTCAGTTTTGTATGTGTCCCCACACTCAATTTTTCAAAAATCTTTGGCACACCCCATCTTGCTGTTTTTCGGGGCCTCCTTTCCGCACCCTTCAAGTTAGCACTCTGAACGGAAGACATCGCAGGGCGTGAGGTTGGTATCGGAGCGGACACGTGTTGGTTCTGACGTTAGTGAGACGAGCTGGCGAGAGGGAGATCAGCTAAATAACCCAATCGCCTCAGTCGTCCCGTCACTCGGCAAAGATCTGTCGAGACCCGAACAGAGATGCCCATGGCTGATGCTAATGGAGCGCCCCCCCGGGTGATGGTAAGCATCCCCGCTACCTTTCCCTTCTATCCTAACTATACTCATCCAGAGGCATGGCTTGAAGCCGTGCAAGCGTAGGGATATGGCGCTGGGGATCTTCCCCGCGTCATTACCGTGTTACTCTGAAACACTGCACATGATTGGTTTAGAAGGCATCGATGGGTAGATTGGGATACTTTCAAGAGAGCGTTCCTAGCGAATCTCCCGCAAGAATATGGAAACTGTCCCACTAGCAGTTGCGTTCTCCTCCGCACTCGCTGCCCCGCTCACCAGGTACGTACCTCCTCTCTGTGGCATACCTCACGTTGCTTCTACCAATAATGCAAGCAGAGTGAATGAACCTTCCGCCAAAGTGTAGAGGTATACACTGCTATTCCAGCTATGCACACGTAGAGAGATGAGAGGATCACTTCGATCGATTGGATGAGCAACGCACCGGCCAACAGGTAAGTCTCAAACTCCCACAATTGGCTTCACGTTGTTCCATCGTTAGGATGAGCAAAAATCGAATGAATCTCCTGCTAAAATGTAGGAAAATACATGCCTGATATCACTGCCCACGCCCCTCTATTCTGGCGGTAACTCTAATCCCGGTTCACCCCGCCTCTTCGGCTCGCAATGGTAGGTATGCCTTCATCACCTTCTCTGACGCACGTGCGACCCTGAAGATGGTTGATACCACCACGGCCTTGTCGAAGATGGTCGCGATCTCGGCCCGTGGTGTCCAATGTGAGGACGACGATCGTAGCAACACCGCGACTTCCCTTGATCACCACGATGGCTGCTAGCGGACCTGCCTTACTCGAGCACTCACCAAATTTTCAGGGATGAGAATGGATCTTCACTCGAACACGGCCAGACGCTGCGCCAGGTAAGCGCCACTTCTCTGTGTTCATGCGCAACTGCTCCTCCAAGTATCTGGCTCGAATCCCAACTGGATTCAAGCAACTCTCCCCTCTGAAGTAACGTGGGAACTGCACCCGTGTGGGGGCGAGGACGAGGGTGGTGGTGCTCACATCAGCCGCGTAGAGTCACTCTCTTCCTCTCTCTCATAGAGTCCTGCGCAGTAGCAAGCTTGATATTCATCGCACCTGATCGTCTGCATGGTCCGGTACACTTGGGATGGAGAGTGACTCGGTCACACATACGAGAATGAACCTTGCGCTAGAACCCAACCTGATGCTGCGCCAGGTAAGCTCCACTTGTCCTCCTCCTCCTTTCGATCGGCTTCTTCCCCCTTCATCAACTTCAAGTCGTCCCCTTCCCGCCTTCGTTCCTGCTGAACGATAGCGCACCAGAGCAAAACTCCATCCACAGTCTTGTCGGAGAAAACTGCACACAGCGACCCGACACCAGCAGGCCTGTTGCGCTAAATAGCTTCTGTGTTTGCTACTCACTCCGTCTCTGGCCTTGGATATGACCTTCGATAGCTATCCGGGCTCAGGCAATTCAGAAATATTTGGTTTTACTCATAGAGTTCCATCATCTAGGATTTGAATACAAGTCTGCATTTCAACAGTTCATGGGTGTACCCATTGAGCTAGGCTCTTGGGTCCAACGCTGGTACCGGAACCGCATCCCAAATTGGGACATAATAAAAATTAAGAGAAATAAAAAAGAAGTGATAAAAGTTAGAAAAATATGAGAAATGGCGAAGGGAGGGGAAGGACCGTGAGAACCTGACCTTCGGTCCTGCCCATCGGTCCCGTGGTCGGACTCCTTGGCAAAAACTAAGGGGCATAGTCCCACGGGACCCTCGACCTCTTAGTTTCCTTCATACGACGCCCTTCCGCTCCTTCACTGCCGGCTGCTGACCTTGATCCCCAGATCTTCGTAGTATCAGTCCAAAGTCGTAACCTATAGGGCTAAGCCCAAGCCTGAACTTGGTGGGCTCAATTCTCTATATAAAGAGTAACTGCAGCCAGCTCGGCATGTCGAAATGCACCAAGGCCACCGCTTGGCTCATCATCCGAGCCCATGCTCACTACGCACACGGACTTGTTACTTTAGGGGGTGGTTTTCTCTCGCCCCTGCTGCGTACGTAGCCCAATAACATTTCCACCAAAGGTCGTGGCTTTCTCAATCTGCCATACTACTTGAAAGGTCGCGCCTTTACCGTCTCGACGTCGGAAAGTCCTAGTTTTTACTTACCCCACACTTGGTTCGTGCCACTCTCACAAGGATTACTGACAATGTCTACTGTCGGCAACGGTCAACTAAGTAGCCAGTATACCTTACACTAGGAGTGTCTGAATGCCTTTCCTTGGCAACTACGAATCCCCCCCGGCGACGGCCAAGCGCGGCGAAGTCCGAGGCTGCGGCCAGGTCCGTGACCCCGCGGACGCGTGACTTCACGGACGCATGGCGGCCGCGGGACTTCATGGACGCATGGCCGCCGCTAGGGAGGGGCACAAAAAATTTGAGTGGTGGCATGGGGCGGCGCATCCCCAGCCCCACCCCCTCAACCAAAAAAAAACAAAAAACAAACAATATTTGGGGGGGGGGGGGGGG